GGAATGCTGGTACCAGAGAAAATTAGACAAGTAGAAGGAATGTGGCTTTGGTTGGTCAGAATTTCATGAAAAAACAGTTAGTTTGTTTTCTTCTGGTGGCCTAGGCAGAGATTTGCTATCTCAGATGTTGCAAGGGGCTTGTTTGCAATAGCATGAAAAGCTGTAGAACTTGAATGAATTGCAGGCCCAAATATCCTTGACATTTTCCTCTCTTCTATCTCAAACAGAAAATTAAACAGGAAAATAAAATAAAATTAATGAAAAAAAAAACCCAAACCTGCCTTTGGCACTGCTAAAATATGTTTTTGAAAGAATTCAAAAGCCAGGAAACTCCTAAAGTTAAGGTTGCTCCCAGAAGGAAATTTGATTCCAGTGAACACTTCTGGTATTTCCTATTTCTGTTTTCTATTCTTGTTTAGTTTTTATTCTTTTAAATTTGAAAAACTTGACCAAACAAAAGTAAATAGCCATACAGAGGTGTTTTGCAACATAGGTGGCCAACCTGTCTCCTACAGATCAGATGTTGCCTGCCACATACATTCAATCAAGTGCTTATTCCCTGATGCTTTCCCTTCCAGGAATGTCTCAGGTATCAGCAAGAAGTAAGCTGTTGGCTGTGCACATTATCCTTTTAGTCTGCCCTCTCTTTGAAGAACCCCCTCTTCCATCACAAGGCTGAGGCATGCAATTCTTATATAATCAAAATCTCATTCCAGGTGATCAGGGACAAGACCTGCAGTACAATCTTCAGGTATCATCTGAGATCTGGTGACTTTGTTGTAGCTGAAAGACTGAGCAATGTCAGCTGGAGAATAAAATACAAATAAAAATCAGCATGGGCTTAATGTATGCAACTTGAGAACTTGTATCTGTAGAGTTAGTTAAGATGGTTTGTTATAAGCTTTGAATTTTTTTCAGTGTCAGTATGTAATTTAAAAGATCAGGAATGTAATGCATATAAACATCAATCAAGCCAGAATCTATACAGTGGTATGCTTTACAAGAAGAAAATACCAGGTTCAAACAGTAAAATACATTGTCAGCAGTCAGTGTTGTTTAATACACCATTTTATTGTGTAGCCACAGATTTTTGATCCTTATATAACGTTCCATTTTTATTTAACTAGATGGCCAGACAAGTGCACTCTCACACCTTGAAGTGCCCTCCCTGCTTGCTCTTGCTGTCTCAATGCTGCTCATTTGGTTGTGCCTTTCAAATTTATCTGCAAAATCTCTCTTCCATCTCATTGTACTATCTCTCAAAATAATAGTAGTTTAAAGATGTTGCATATACCTGTTATTATGTATAAATAAATATACCTTTTCTAAAACTTCGTATTTTATTTCAGACACTGGCACTGTTGGACCGATTTAAATCGAAGTTAACCCAGGCAATTGAAGAAACTCCTGAAAATGAGGTTTCTGAACCTGAAGCAGATAATGATGAAGGATGGTAAGTTTTTTGGATACGAATTTCTCTATTTATTGCTGGAAATTCTACTGCACAGATACAGTCTTACTGTTAAAAGTAAATTTAAGGAGCAGCAGAAACACCAAATGTGAAGACAACTGCTGAAAGACAAGTCAACTAAAATACACTGCTTTAACACTCTGGAAAATAACACAGGAGAGTAGAGGACATTTGCTGTTCTCAGTTTTAAGTCCTTCTGTAACTCTGTGTTGGGTTTGGTAAGTATTTCAAAGATTGATGAATGAGACCAAGATAGACTGATAGATTCATGTGAATTGTAGGGTGAACCTAAGGAAGTAGGGTAGCACTGGAATTGATAAAGCACTGCTGATGTTATTACCTCAACACCTTCAAGTTAAGGAAGCAGCTTATATGTTGTTGACTTGTCTTCATCTTTCATCTAGAGAACCCACCTTAGGTATTTAAGGGGAAAAAATCAGTATTATTTGAAGTCTGATCCTGAAGTCCTAGACTACAAACTGTTAGATGATGATAAAAATATCCACTGAAAATTGCTAGAAAACAAAAAAACAAACAAAACAACAACAAAAAAACCTACGACAAAAAAGCATAACACAAGCCATCACAGCTACAAGAAAACTGCCAATGAAATAGAAATTTTCAACAAAATTCTTGGCAAGTGTTTTAAGACAAGCAATATTTCTGTATCTCAGAGAATCTAAATGTATTAAGTGAAAATATGTTAGGTATATCTTCCTAAAGGCTTCCTACCTGGGTGAGAAAAACAATAGGATACCTACCTGTCCCAAAATCTCCAAATTAGCAGCAATAACAAGACCTCAAAAAAATTGAATTACCCTAAGGAGAAAAACAAAAAGGTACAAATAATAGATGCCCTTTAAAAATACAAAATAAATAATAGAACTAAATGTGATTAATGCATTTGCATATTTTTTTAGAAGACTCATACAAAACTGTAAGATACTCATGTTAGTGAAGTTGTTTTTCTCAGATGAGAACATATGTAGCATTGGTAGGAAATTTGGAGTGTCTAAATAATTTACTGTCATTCTACAAATGAAAGAGATGTGCATACTGAAGTGAGAAAAGACACATAAGAAGTCTCTGAAGAAAGATAATATATGAGAGGAAAAATGGTTTTTACATGTTAACTCACATTTTTTCCCACAAGTTGATAGATGGAATTCTTCAACTATATATGTTATACATCAAATTACACTAAGCTGTAACACAAAAATATTTTAGGATTATTTGAAGATGCATAACATTAAAATCTTAAAAAAAATTAAGTCATAGGTCATGAAAGGTAATGGCAGAATAGCAAATTCTGAGACAGTTATGTCAATGATACTAAAATTTTAGATCACTCTTGGATAATTTTTCTTGGATAATTTTTCTTTTCTTATTTGTGTCATATACAAAATTAATCATGGCATATATTTTAATTTAGTAAGATCAAGCTACACAGATTCTGCAGCTTTACCTTCACACCTTCTTGCTTTTCACTGAATCAATCTGAGACCTCACAAAGGGAATTCTAGGATTTGCAGAAAACTTCAGACACGTGTACTGGCAGAAGGACTAAAACTATTAGTATAGCATTTAGCATAGAATTCTTGCAGTTCATTAAACAATATTTTTACATATGTAGTGTGTAATAAGTGCATTTATTTTTTAATGGTTCGTTGTGAGCATTATTGTAGTGTGCTTTCTTAACATGTCGGTGTTTTTATCATTGATCATAAGCTGAAGTGTTACTAAGTAGACTGTTAAAAATCCTGTAATTCTTTCAAAACAGTAGAAATTTGAGCTTTTGCTCTTTATTTTATTAACTTTATTCATCATTTTTAAATATTTCATATTTTTCAAAGAAAAACTGAGCATTTCTCGTGGCTTTAGAATCTAACCAAATCCGCTCTGTATCTCTGTCTCTAACTCTCATATTATTTATGTATTTGTACCTAAGAACAGAACATAGTACTTCAAAATATAAATGCAGGTTAGTTTTCTGAAGTCTAGGCTTTCTACTTTTAATATTCATTCAATTATCTGGAAATACAGCCTTGCTTTCTTTGTTTATATTGTTTGGCTAGTTTGACAGATAAATGAAAACAAAAAGGTCTTGGCTTTGGATTATTGTTTTTGAAACAACAGAGGAAATAATTTCCTCAATATTTTCCCCTTTAAGGTTAACTCTTAGTAGTAATTTGTTATTATTTTCAGTTTTCGCTTGCAATCATCTGTTTGGTTGCTTCTTCAAACTGCATAGTCTTCCTTCCTTATGTCTTTTCCTATCTCAGGCTCTTTGAGGACGAGAGATAGCATAAGTTTTTAGGTTCTTAGATTTCACTGATATTTTGAGATCCTTCTGAGCTACCGATGTGCTTCTAAGTTCTCCAAGAACTATAGACTATTTCAGTTGGAAGGGACCTACAGTGATCATCTATCTAGTTGTACTGCCAGACCAGTTCAGGGCTGACCAAGGTGAAGCGTATTATCAAGGGCATAGTCCAAATGCCTCTTAAACACTGATGGGCTTAGGGCATTGGCCAACTCCCTAGGAAGCCTGTTCCAGGGTTTGACCATCCTCTCAGTAAAGAAATGCTTCCCAATGTCCAGTCAAAACCTGTCTTATGCAGCCATTCCATGAACCTGAAGGACTGGTCTCCATGTCTGATATTTTCTTGTCACAGTAATATGACCAGTCTTTTTACAGTTTGTATAGCATCCAATCAATATCTTTCCTATTCCTTTCAAAGTAACTGCTGTCACCTAATTGTCAAAAATTATTTTCTCTAATTCATACTGAATGGCAAGTGTTGCAGTTTCAGGTTATGGAGTTCTATTTTTGTTCAGAAAATAGTATTGCATTCACAACTTCACTAAAATTAAGACTTGGAATAATATCAAACTACATTATAGGCTAATAAATACATCATATTAATAAATTTGCTGCACAGTAAATATGCATGTCTACAGACAATCTATTTTCAAATAATTTATTCAGAAGCTAAAAAAATTGCAAGATCTACACAAATTGGCTATAAACACATACATTAACAAAGCACTGAAGTCTTCTAAAAGCCACTAAAGAGTGTTAGAATTGCTTGAAAAGTTAAATTTCACATTTTGAAATGTGTTTATATTTTCAGTGACTTTGTTGTATTCATATATTTGAGATAACTATAGTGAGTTTAATTTTTTTATTATTTATTAATTCCAATCTACTTCTCAAAAGACAATAATTCTACTTTATTTGCATTTTATTAAATAATTAGCATATGGCATATGCGTATATGATATGCACAAATTATGTGATTCTTCCATTCCATTTTGTAGGTCATGGTTGCTGTTTTTATAGAAGTGAAAGCCTGCCAGTATGCTTTGCTCTACTGCCAGGGTGTGTTATCTGAGGTAAAAAGATTGCCTCTGAGACATTTTTATGTGTCCACATGAGTGGCCACACATTGAGGTATAATTTTCATTTTCTGTCAAGATAGAAACCATTACCGATTTGTTATGTTTTCTTTTATTTGGCAAACTTCTCTCTGCATATTTGGCTGAGCTGCTGTATTGGCATGGAGCATAGCAGACGTTTGGGCACTTTTCAGCAGG